AATTGCCAGCAAAATGTTTATAAGCACTCAACAGCCCTAGAAATAATGTTAAGTCATTGTACTATTATTATTATAATAAAATTTTAGTAAAGCATTCTGTCCAAATACATCTACTAGCAACACTTCAACTAGAAAAGTAGAAAGCAAACTATTTGCCTGCCTTCTCGAAGGATTTCATATTAAAACCACTTTTTCTCAAGTGTAACTTGACTGCCATAAGTAAAATCTAGAAAACACAAAAGGCCTCAGATGTCTGACACGATAAGAATTGTGCTAAGTACTTTTACTCACTCATTTCCTAGGTAACAAAACCTCCTTTTCTTCTAAGCTATCTCAATCCATTTTCTCTTTTGAGTTTGTTGTTCTACACCCGTTTTCAGACTGCAGGAAATTCTAATTTAATAAAAATAGTCTCATTTTAAGAAATGACAAAGTATCCCCCCTTTCACTAAGAGCTAGCAGATATAGCTGTTAAATTCAAAATAATTTAAGATTCAGGTTGTTGTGTTTTTAATTCAAAAATTACTCAGTGTTAATAGTATGAATGATTTCAAAAATTTAAAACTTTGAAGACTTTTTATTTATACAGACATTGATTTTTTAATCTTTTTTTTTTTTTTAAGAAATGTACAAGATATTCTACATTGAACACAGAAAAATACAGTTTTGCATATGAATTTCATTTAGCTGGAACATAATAAAATATTCCAGTCACAAAACAGAATTATTTAATCTTCAATAGCAAATAATTATTGATATAAGATCACAACAAACACACACACCCTCAAAGAAAAAGGGAAAAAAGAATAAGGCAGAAGAGCGTTTTGTTCACAAAGGCAAGAACTACTTGTAAGCAAGAAAAGAAGCAGCAATAATGACAACATTTTATTCAGAACATTAACTCTGCAGTGATTAAAAAATTCTCATAGATACACTGTTTTTCTCTGAAAAGCAACCACTACTTACCAAATTCCTTGAAACAGGTAATCTGACAAAATTCTCAAAAAGGAAAATGCTTACAAGTTTTTTCTAACACTACCTCTTCTTTCCCTCCACCCCCCCATTTCTTTACAGTACTAACATTAGTGATTATCATGCATTTTAAAATTTGTAGAAACGGTTTGCTGAGATACAGCTTTACTGATATCTCAGTTTTATTAGAAAAATGTTTTTTCCAGTATATTTGACAAATTACTTTCATACAGTGCGGGTAATATTTGACCTTAAAGACTTGAAGAATTCATAATTATTAATCATGAATAGACTAACACAGACAATAATACGTGGCTTAATACTATTTGCAAAGCTATCAGCTTTGACACTGTAAATATTAAATATCACCAAGATTCCCATGAAAATTTCAGTAAGCTTTTAATTCAAATGCTCACACACTTACAGTGCAAAATGTTTTTAAAGAAAGCATTGTGCTCAATTCTTATGTAACTTTTAAAAGTACTTTTATTAAAGCAGGTAAGTGCATTATTCACCCTAGGTCTGATTTTCAGGTGCAGTTTCTGCCTGTTGCTAACCAAAGCTACATAGCAGTTATTTTGAGGTTTTTGGCTATAACATGTACACTCAAAAAACTAGGAACTGAAACAGAAGTCTGTCCAAGAAGTACAGGACTTCTTCCTCTCTACAAATTAACTTTTCTGCTATCAGAAAATAATCACAGAATCACAGAATATGCTGAGTTGGAAGGGACCCATAAGGATCATCAGAGTCCAACCATCAACCCTGCACAGGACCATCCCCAAGAGTCACATCTTGTGCCTGAGAGTATTATCCAAACACTTCTTGAACTCTGTCAGGCTTGGTGCTGTGACCACTTACTTCCCTGGGGAGCCTGTTCCAGTGCCCAACCACCCTCGGGTGAAGAACTTTTTTCTAATACCCAACCAAGACCTCCCCTGATGCAATGTCAGACCATTCCCTCAGGTCCTGCCACTGGTCACCACATAGAGGAGAGATCAGTGTCTGCCCCTCCTCTTCCCCTCACGAGGAAGTTGTAGACTGCAACGAGGTCTTCCCTCAGTCTCCTCTTTTCCAGGCTGAACAAACCAAGTGACCTCAGCTGCTCCTCACACGGCTTCCCCTCAATGCCCTTCACCATCCTCGTTGCCCTCCTTTGGACACTCTCTGAGAGCTTAATATCTCTCTTACATTGTGGTGCCCAAAACTGCACACAATATTCAAGGTGAGGCTGCCCCAGTGCAGAGCAGAGTGGGACAATCCCCTCCATTGACCGGCTGGCGATGCTTTGCCTGATGCCCCCCTGGACACAGCTGGCCCTCCTGGCTGCCAGAGCACTGCTGACTCATGTTCAACTTGCCATTGACCAAGACTTCCAAGTGCCTTTCCGTGGCCCTGTTTTCCAGCATGTCATTCCCCAGTTTGTATGTATATCCAGGGTTGCCCTGTCCCAGGTGCAGGAGCCTGCACTTTCCCTTGTTGACCTTCCTGTGGCTGGGAATTGCCCAGTCCTCTAATTTGTCGAGGTCTCTCTGCAGGGCCTCCCTGCCTTTGACGGAGTCAACAGCTCCTCCCAGTTTTGTGTCATCTGCAAACTTGTTTAGTATCCCCCTTACAGTTCTGCAACATGCCTGTGACCCAAATGAAATGACATAGAGGGATGTAGCCGGTCCCCTGTGAGTCCTTATCCTGGCTTAGAGATGCAAGAACTTCATGTCAACTGATGTCGTCTACAGATGTGGAATCTCTCACCACACCATCCTGTGAGTGCAAGAGAATCAAACTCTGCAAGAAGTAACCACATAGTACAGCACTGATAGCCATATGGTAGATATCCAGGCACGAGACAGACTATAGGACCTTTGGAGTGCTCAGTGGTGCATGTTTGAAGCTTTTGCTACTTCAGTCATATCAGCAACATTCTCCACCAGAGATGTTATTTATCCCCTTTAGTCATGCAGTTTATATATATATATATATATATATATATATATAGCTTATTCCTGTTACAGCTTGACCAAATGGAAAAGATTTTCAGAACACCATGCTAAAAATACAATTCCTCTTCTTCATGCTGTAGTCAAGGCTAAAAATTTTAACCAGTTTCATCTTCAGAGTTTGAATTCTTAACACCAATCATTTCCTTACCTTAGACTCAGGTTGCATATCAAGGTGTTAGGACCAGTGTCATCCCCTAAATTTTAACATGCTGCTTTATCCAAGTTTATCCTCATCTCTGGGTTTGAGACAACAGAATACTTGATACTTTTGATACTGACATACAAATAGCTCAGGTTTCCTTGTTCTGAGGAGGGGAAAAAAGTGGTTTTCATACACGTATGTTTATGTGTGCACTTGCACATATGTGTATTAAAACACTGTTCAGTTTTTTTGTGCTTCAGGACTTCTGGGGGGATAATCACATAGCAGATATTTGAGTCCCCTGTTTCGGGATTTGCAAGGAGGGAAGCAGACCAGGCCAATGTTGTCTCCCAAAAGATTATCTATGAATACAAAAGTTGTGCCTTGTCAGATTCCAAATACTTGTAAGGTTTTTATAAGAATAAGCACTTTCATGAAATACCCTGATATATTTAGGACACCTGCAGTTCAGCATAGGCTGTCAACTCCAGGAATGGATCGTATGCTTGAAGAGAGAAATCATGAGACAGTGTTAATATTACTTCAGAAAGTATGCCTCATTCCAGTACTTTCAGTGTGGACTTTACATCATATACTCATTGTATCCTTGGCAACTCTTATCTAAAGAGCAAGACTGACAACTTAAAATTTAAAGTTACAGCCATCATATATTACTAGGCTTGGATTTGGTCTTGGGCTAGATAGAATGCAAGCTAAAGACCAAAAGTATTCCAAAAGTTATTTGATGTGATGTAAGGGCATATCTGTGTTCACCATTATTGACTGGATAAACCAAAATAAAGCTTTATCCAGATACTCCTCATGATTTCATAACAAGAAAGATGAAGATAACTTGGCTGCTTCAATAAAACAAAACTAAGGCAAATTATGAGAGCAAACAAGTACAAACCAGTAGAAGTAGCCCCTTCCCCCTCTGTGTCTTTGATGTGGTTTATGTTTCCCCCCCAGTTTTAAAGTAATATTTTCTTTCTTTCATCATTTTATCTCTTCTTTACCTTCAATGCACAGAAGGCAAAAAAAAGAAGAATTGTTTGTAAACATTTTCTTGTCAATATATTCACAAAGAAAATTTACACTACGTAAGGTTCCAAAGGGGAAAAAAAAAGAGAAACTATATTTTAAGGAAAAGTTCCAAATGTCACATTATTTTTTTTAAAATCAGCATATGTTGCCCCTAACAACATTGAACCAGTGAATGAAGATTTTATCCATCATAATTTAGGACAGATTTATGAAGGCTTATGCTATATTAAAGTGATTTTTAAAATATATATAATTTCTTATATATTAATCTCAAGAGAGTGGTTACTTAACATTAAATCAGACAATTTACATTTCTAAATTAATTAGAAATGGATTTGTGAGTCAGTCTTTGATATGAAGAGTGCTATGAGTTTGAACATCATCTTCATACAAAGAGTTCTTTGAAAAGTATTTTTTTTTTAACGTTAAGGTTTCCTTTTGCAGGGAAAAAACCCCAAATGTGTAGGCTTAATCTGCACATTAAGGTATAAGTGAAAACCCACAAGACTACAACCACGTTTCCCCAGTGAAAGGCTAAATGAAGCAAAACACAAACCACGATTTTCAAAGCAAATCTTTTGGAACATCTTTTTGATAAAAAGCTAGCTATGAATAAACCTCAACCTGAATGGAGTTTTTAACCCTATGCACGAGATCCACCATGTCAAAACAACTCTCGTCTGTTTTACCTGATCATATCCCAAAACCACATTATTTTCCTGGTTTGTTTCTTGATGACAAGCTGCTAAAACACAGAGAACCTATCAAACCTAGTATTATCATCTGCTGCTTTTTTCTTCTAGTACATACTGCTGTCCATCAGAAGAAATAATTAATGGTTCTATTATGTATGAAAGCGTCATCCTGTCAGTTCAGTGACTGGTTTGAATAGCTCATATCTGCTACTCATTGATGCCATGCGTGCTCACTGTCCTGAGAGATGACAAAACACTACACCCTTTGGGATTTTTTTTCCCCTCTGCTCTAAAGCAGCATTTCACATCTGTGTCTGACAGAAGCATTAGGAGCTGAGAGAGGCAGACCTTCACCATCCTTCACAGAATAATGTTGCATGGATTAAAAGTTAAGACCTGATGTCTACTGATCCTGCATATTTCCTACAAAAATCTAAAATGTGGAGGCTACCAAAATATGCAGAGAAATAACTTTTCATTGTTGGAATAGCACCAGGAAACAGATGGAATTTACTGGATTCTAAATATTTAAATATTTTTTTAAATGGGTGCTGAATACTTGAGTTAACTAGGGTCGGTGCATTTGCCTTCTTTTTATATATTTTTTTTTCCTTTGGTGGGAAGGGGAAGATGCCAAGTTCACAGGTTCTTTTTTGTTACCTGATTAGGGCAGATATAAACAAAAATGCTGAATGTGGAAGAAATCAGATATTGGAGACACCTGGAAATAAACTGGAAACAACCAATACCACAAGACCGAAGCAGCAGTGAACAACAAGACGCTGTGGAAATCACAAGACGAGAGTGCACAATGCATTTCAAATAGGAAAAAGCTTCCTATCTGCTGAGTGAGTCTCAGTATATTCTGACAGAGCACAGACAAAGCTTCAATCAAATATCTCCTAGGTAAGTTTTTATTTCATATACTGCTTTAATTGTTTATCACATCAACATATACTTTCATGTATGGACAATAACTTGATGAATTTAAATTTCTTTACACTGATACTGAAGTTTGAATCATTCTATGCCAGATATTTGATGTTCTTAGATTTCCTATACTGTTCAAATAACAGATCTGTTTTGATATTAAGATTATTCAAAGCAAAAACTATTAAATGTTCTCTCTTGATGTATACTAGAGTGAAATATATGTTGAGATTTAAATCCTTTAAAGTATTTTAATACATACATCCATGCATGGCTGTTTAAGAAAAATTAATAAAAAGCCACATTTTAGAAAAAAAAAATTACTGCACTTCATTATATATTTAATCTAGCAAAGCTAACAATGTTTTGCACCATAGCAGCAGATGTAAAAGGATATCTTTCATTACAGAATAATGAATCTTTGTTTATATAAAAGGATATTAAATAAAGCTAGAAGTGTTGCTTAGTTATTTATGAAAGGTAAACTACAGCACAATAAGGAAACAGCACCGTGTTAATACACCCCAAGGTACTGGGCACAGAGTTTCAATCAGGAGACTGGACATCAGTGCTCCAGTTAAAGTATAAAAAAGAAGGTGCAGGTCATCTCATTGTTTTAACTCATTTGGAGCTTTCACAACATGAGTCACATAGACATGAATTCTATATGGAAATAACATGCAAAACATTTTAGAATGAGATTCTAACATCTAGTAAGTCTTGAAAAATAAACACTCTATCTGTTAATCAGAAAACCACACTTAGAAGTCATAGAGAAAGGTACCTTTGCTAACACACAAAAAACCTCCCACAATCCTTGAAACTAAAAAAGCATTAAGAGTCATGTATCATTTAACATACCATTTCATAGTATCACACTGGTCAGTTTTGTATGTAACAGCAGCTTTGAAAAACTACATCTTTGCCCCTACTGTCTTTTACTGATTTTGCACAATTTTTTTCAATTTACTAAGCTGCAATATCTCTTCTTCTAGCATTGTTTTAAGTATCTCCTCTACTCCTCTTTTTATCACTTCCCTCATTTCTATTTAGCACACATTATTATATGATATTCTTATTTAATGTAACCAACGGTTCTTTTCTTGTTTTTTTTTCCTTTTTATGTTTTGATAACTTACTAAAATAATCTTTTCCTGATGCTTGCTAAAGACAGACTCATTTGTCATTCACAAACACCTCTTCTGAACCCTTCACTTATGCACAAAGAATTTATGAATTCTACCTAGTGACAGAAGACTAAACTTACTTGCCAAAGACTGATAGAATATCACGAGATGAAAAAAACTCAAGTTGGTATGAGACAAGGCTCCATCATAGTATCAGGAGTCAACAACATACTCCCAAAATAACGGAATTCCTACCAGACAAGATCTGTGAAACAAACTCAGCAGGAGAGGGGTCATCTTATGCATATTACTGTAGAGTACTTTATATATCTGAAATTCCTTCTACAAGGTCACACTTTTCACTGCCTTGGAGGGGGAAAAAACTAATTTCTCTAAACACTCACACTTAGGTCTTGTGTTTAATGCAGGCAAAGTCGACTAGTCTAACCTTTTCCACTTTCCCATTCGCTATACCTAAAGAGAACTTAATGGAATTTTTGCTAGTGCACCTGTAACTCAGTCATTTTGTTGATGACAGCTTCCAGCATTTTTTACATTTCCTCTGTTTCTGTTCTTCCCTTTCCTAAGTAGCTCCAACTGGTCAATCAAATATATCTCAATCATTTTTTTCCTTTGTCTCACTTCCCACATTCCAGTGATCCAGTAAGAATTCTCCCTGCCTCCTCCCGGCCGCTATACTCAGGCACTGATACTTCGTCTCACATTTCACACACCAGGAAAAAAAACATCAATTACCAAGTAGGTTCTGTATAACATCAACTGAAACGATATGGTGACAAATTTCAATAGCACCAGTTCAGAATTTCAATAACTTGAACCATCAAAGCCTACTACTACAACTCAAAAACACTTGTAACAAGCACCAGATGCAATACAGCTTTTGTCAACTGATTTCACAAGACAGCTTTGTCTCTGCTGAATTTAGTTCAGAGTTGGAAGTAAAAGAGAAAAATCAGAATTGGAATTCAACCTTTGATTCTCAAGTTAATGCTCTCACACTGGAAAAGTTTTAACTTCGACACAGTGAGGTTTTGTCTCCTCTTTTGTAAAAGATATGGTTTATTCACGGCTTTAAAACAAACAAAAAGAAACAAAAACAAATAAAACCCCCAAACATAACAGCTAGCCAACAAGCCTATTGAGAAAAATCAGGTGATTATTGAGTGAAGCTCTCAAAAGACTTACTCAAAACTTAATAATTTAGAATTTTATGAATTGAGAGTCGCAGTTAAGGCTTTATAAACTGCTGTAAATATGAGAGGGCTATGAACAAGTGGAAAGCTTTCTTACAGGAAGAATAATTGGATACAACTAATATTTTTTGAAATATGTAATATTTTTAAAGGTACATTTCTTCAGACATACTCATTAATAACTTAAAGTCATCAAGATAAATGCTATTTTTATTTTAAGTGCATTATTTCTCTTACTTATCCTCAAAGAATTCAGATGCATTAACTAAGTGAAGAGTTCATTATGAAGTTTCAAAACCTAAACTTCCACCCAACCAGAAATAAAGATATCACAAAATGTTTTCCAAAACGTGTAATTATGTAAAATCACCTCACCTGAAAGCAGTAAGTCAATATTTATTTTTCCACCTCTAGCATAATCAGTTGTTCAAGGATCGCTAAGCATCTGACAAGGATATCTTTTCATTTCCTCTCTACTAAGCTGTTTGTATTTGTGAAATGAATAAATCACACCTCAAAAATAACTACAGTCAATTGCCTAGAGAGGATGCCTGCTTGGCAAAACGGCACATGGGGTACATACAAGCAGGACCCCCTTCCCAACTAATTCAGCAAGTAAGAAATATTAAAGTGGGAAGATATGGTATAATAAGCCTTTTAGAAATTATGCAAATGAGACATAAAGCAAAAGGGCAAACTGCCCCTTCTAGGCAGATATCAGCTAACAGAAATCCATACAGAATATTCTGAGTTGTAAGGGTCCCACAAGGATCACTGAGTCCAATTCCTAAGCGAATTGGCCCATAGGAGTGAATCCACAATCCTGGTGTTACTAGCTCCGTGGTCTTACCTGAGCTAATCTCAGGGTATAACACACCTCACAGCACGGACCTGTAGCTATACATACTCAGACCTGTTGGCCTATTTTCTGCATCCACTTTCATGTCTACTCAAGACTATTACGTTACAGATAAAACACAAGATACTTTTACACTTCCATCTTTTTATTAAGAGATAGAACTTATATAACCTCACAGAACTTATGCTCCTATAGTTAAATCACTGACCCAACATGTCCATTTCACCTCGAGTTACAGATAAACACAAAATTCACCACAGCCAGTTGCATCTCTCACAAGCCCTTTCATTAAATAATCCCCTGCCTCCAAAAATTATTGTAATGAGAAAAAAGGCTCTAAAACACATCAAACCATTTGCGCTGTAGATACATGAAGATAAGATTATGCAGTACTTCCAATCACATCCAAAAGCCAAATTAACTGATATTGGTCATATTATTCATATCCCCGCTCCCCCTTTTTTTTTTTTTTTTTTAATGGAATAAACAGGCAGTGCTAGTTCAGGCAAAAGCAGTTGATAAGTGAGAAGGTACACTGACAGACATTCAGGCCTCTATCAGTATGAACTCTGACTTAAAAGCTTACATATATTACATAGGGCTTACATACATTTACAGCGGATATAAAATGCTTTGTGAAGGGGTCTGACACGGCAAAACAAAGCAATATCTGCATAGAAAGAAACTGTTACAGCAGATGAAACTGTGTGCTCCTCAAAACCTGCAGCCTCGACTTAGATCTGTTCAGCTCACTCCTCTCTTTTGTCTGTGATACTGCTGGTCCTTGACCAACATGTAGGTCCAGCAAGGCCTGCCTCCACGCCTGAAATTTTAATTAACCAAATCCTGTATCAAAATTTCCATTCTTTTTTCCCAGTATCGATATCAAATACATGGACCTACAGATACCTAAAAAATTCAATTCGATAGCTACAGATACCTAAATAATTCAATTTGATAGCATTTTTTCAGTATTCTAGAAAAACATTCTTTGGTCTTCTTTGATACTCCTGAAACTATGAGACATTAAAAATACCCATTTGTATAGTCTGCCTCATTGAGTAGTACCGATGTTTTACAAAGAATTCAACTTGCTACTCCCCTACTATATACTTATACATCAACCAGTGGTGGAGTAAACATCCTTGCTAAAAATATCAGAATTACGGAAAAGTGAATCCTTTATAGTACCTCAGTACCTTCCAACAGCTTTAAACTGACACCATCTCAAACTTGAAATATTAATTGATTCCACAGCTTACAACAGTGAAGAGAGAAGAACATCACTTGGGAAAGGTCACATCATATCGAATTAGAGGCTCCATAGAGGTCCAAATTCTGCACAGCAGTGTCCAGCAGCATAAGTCTAAGGAAGCCTGAAAATAGGGCACACACATAGGGATACTTCCTCAGAATTATTCTGCCAGCCGCTAGCTATTTGCAGTTCAGGGATTTCTTGAGCCAGAGATAATATCTTATTTATAAGATAATCTTTTCCAGTTGTTTTTGAACTTGCACAGAACTTCAGTTTCCACAAGATCCTGTGACAAAAGTCCTTTCCTTGTTTTGAATTTGCTGCCAGATATCTTCATTCAATACTCCCTACTTCTTGCACCAGAATACACAATAGTAATTTCTTATTCATCATATCCATTCTTCATGATTTCACAGACAGTGATGGCATACTGTTCTCAGTCATCTGTTTTGGGGGTTGAAGACCTCTATTCTACTCTACTCATACCATCCTTAGCCATGCCTTATATGTAAATTCTTCCA